TATCACATGAGGCATGTGCGTGCCGAGGGAGTAACTTTCATGAGTCCAGAGGAGGGGTAGCAGAGAACTACCTATAAGCACGTCAATGCCACCAGGCAAGTGAAAAGTAGGATCAGCTAGAACATAGGGCTTGATTTTTGTTAGCACTTCCGGTGATATAGGGGAGCGAGGTAAGTCGACGGAAATCTTATCAAGAATATGGAATTGATGGTCAGTGGCTATTACTCGACCTGAGAGAGTTTCAAGATTCAAGTAAGTTGACCCTTTAGTACAGGAAGCCATTTGAGAAAGACCAGATATTTTGAGTTGAGAAGACTGGCGTTTTATATTTAGGAGATTCGCAGCGCGTTCTGAGAGCAGATCACACATACTGCCAGTATCTAGTAGAGCACGAAACACATGAGAGATACCCTGAGGGGAAGTCAACTTGACCAAGGCGGTGCCGAGTAATACAGTATAATTACCCGAAGTCGTACATGAGTTATTTTGGGCAGAATAATTGCTTACATCCGCGACAGTGGCGGAGATAGAGGCTTGTGAATTAACATCACCAGTCTGAGTGTGAGATGGACCTGAAGTGGTCGGGGAAGTTCTTTGACCTTGAGGTCGAAAAGACATCTGAGATGTTTGATTATTATCACCAAGGTGTAAGAGAGAGTGGTGTCGCTGTTTACATGTGCGACAAGTGAACTGAGAGCGGCATTCTTTGGAGCTATGTTCACCCAAGCAAGAAAAACAACGATTATGTTTTTTAACAATGGCGTGTCGCTCTCGAGGAGATTTATTTTGAAATACGTCACAAGTGTAAACTTTGTGATCATTTTTGTTACAAACAAAACATTTGTTATAGACAGGACTATTTTTAGTCTGAGAGCTATGAGAGGGGGGAGCATTAGATCTCGAAGTAGCTACCATGGCTAGGCCTACGTCAGACCGGAAATGCACCTTTTTTGGTATGGTTTTGTGAGGTGAAGGTTGAACGCTTCTGTGGGCCGATGACATGTTATGTATGTTAGCATCTTCTGTCTGCGAACATTCTTGGTTAAGAAATTTTATTATTTCACCAATTTCTGGTAATGAATGAGTAACTGGATCTTCGGTTTGACTGGAACGGAACGATTCAAGTTTTTTACGTAGTTCCTGGTCCATTTTACGCAAAAGGAGTGCGGACAATAGGGGGTTGTTGTCACTAACGTCACAATTTAATGCCTTAAGAGCTTGTGTGTGTTCCGTAAACAGGTTTACAAATTGGCGCAAACCTTTGAGTGAAGTTGCCGTAATGTTTGGCAGGTCCAACAATTGGTTAAGATGCAATGATTGCAATCTTCGATTGTTGTGATATCTGTCACGTAACAATTCATAGGCGACTAGATAATTAGGAGCGGTGAGATTTAAACTCCTTATTAAATTGAGAGGCTCTCCATTTAAGACAGAGAGTAAGTACTGGAATTTCATAACAGAGGATAATGAAGCATTACGGTGGATTGCAGTGTCAAAAAGATTGATAAAACTTGTCCACGTTAATGGATCGCCAGAGAATTTTTGTAAGTCCAGTTTAGGTAATCGTACTTGTGAGCTTGGATGAGTTTCTGAAACAGAAAACGATTCACTGAACGCGGAAGGGGTTTTTGGTGGTTCTGAGGGAACCAGGGTTTCAATCGTAGCTTGAATGTGAGAGAACATGTCTTCAATAGCATCTTGATCATTGGAAAGAGTCTTATCATCGATCCCTTCATCTTCCAGAACGAAGGCACGTTGAAGGTTATTTTCAAATTCACTGCGTTTCTTTTTTATTTCCAACGCGTAAGCGGATAATTTCTTAAGTTGTAATGGTGTTAGAGGGTCGATTTGAGTTGATAATTCATCTACTGTAGCCTTAAGTTTTTCAAAACGTGATTTAATCAGCGCCGTAGAACGGGTGTAGATTGCGGACTTAAAATCAGATGCTTTAGGAGGCATTGTGAAGTGTTCACTTGAAAGTATTCACGCGAAAATGGAAGTTGTGGGTACACAAAAGGCTTGTAGCTAGGCCTATGAATGGTATTAGCTTAACAATGTAGTAATTAATTGTCCGCTGAATAATATAGAGATAAAATATTATAAATATCTAAAACATATATCCACCTACTTTGTAGCTTAATTGAGGCAAATAGTTAAAAACACTACGTTATCAACACGTTAGATAGCAATAAAATATTTTTAAATGAGTGTGGCAGGTTTAATTCGATTTTCAAACTATAAATCAACAATTGAGCTTAGTTGAAAGTATTCAAGTACGGTAATAATAATGCACAATAAAACAAGAGATATGATAGAACAAATGAATGAGTCACATGAAAGTTCACCGTTATTTACAAAAATAATAAATGGATCTAAATAAGTTTAATGAGAGTAGGCCTCATTAATGAAACAGTGTAGAATAATCCTTAGTAAACAAGAATTGCAACATAAAGAGTAAGTTATTACCCTAATAAATGAGAAAGGAACATTAAATTATAACCATCAATGAAATATGAATCACAATACAAATACGCTAGCTAACAGTTTTGTTTATATGTACAACACTAGTAATAAGAACCAGTAAAAACGGTTATTTTGAACTATTTATTAAAATGTTAATTGACAAGATAAAATTACCTTAAATATAATATCGCACGTTTGTCAACCAAAATTACAGAGATGAACTAATTTAACTTTACTTCATTTAAAATCAAAATTCAGAATGCATAAACAATGTTAAATAACAATGACAAATTATTGTTTATTTAGTATGATATTCAAAAGAGCAATATTGATTCAAAGAATAATAGTAAATACCTAATAATAACCTAATAGTTGGTTATTAATAATATCAATCAACCTTATTACACAATACACCTTAAATGAGAAAATGTAAACAACAACAAACGCTGTACAGTGAGTGACAGTTGAGATATGCGTCTGCTACTAGTGTCGGCCGTCTGCACGCGACTAAATCCCGCAACTAAAACTAAATCCCGTTTTCGGGATAAAAAAGCCAAGTAGGGAAAAATTGTCTACTACTAGAGAGAACAGCAAATTGTACATGATTATGATTGTGACCTGCGCAGACGCGCGAGTGGAGAGAGATTGCTAAACCACGCCCACGAACGGAACGAACGCGAGCCGATATTTTACCAATATGGCGAAAATTGAAAATTGCAGATCGCTAAAAATATGGTTGATGATGAAAATTGGCTGAAATTAATTACCACAGGACTTTAGACAATGAATCCGGCTCGAAGGACCAAATGTTGGGGGCGTAATGGGTGAAAATGAAAATAATTAATAACTCGAAGGACCAGAACTAATTAATAGTTCAAGAGAAAAATAATTAAATTAGAGAAAATGGCGAATCTGCAATTTGAAGGGCACTGAGGTCCCGAGATGGAATAAAATGTCTTGTGAGGGGCAAATGAGATTAGTTTTAGAGTCTAATTAAAACACACACAAAACTTTAAGGTTGTACCTTGAGTCCAATTATCCAAAGGTGGAGAGTATGGCAGCGGCGTCGTCTATGGTGGAGCGATGGCGGATGGCGGAGTCCTTAGACCGAGTGCTTCTGTTTTGTAGAATTTTGGAGAACGCAACGCACCCAAGTTCATAATCACAAAGAGCTCACTAATACGCGGAAGTCACGGTGAAAACGTACGGAAAGTCTAGAAGTAATACACGGACGCGCACACACTGTCTTGAGGTTTGAAGAGTCTGAAAGCACTAGATCACAATTTAAGTAATTTAATCACAAACAAAAGGGGGAAATTAAAATGTATATATAGTTAAATGTACTATAGAGGAGAGGGAGGCCAGATATAATTAATCTATAGCCTAAAAATACGTTTAAGAGAGGTAAAATGGGCAATTAATGTCCCGAGATACGAGAAACGGAATACACCGTGAGTTATGGACGCCGACCGTGGACAGACAGACGCCGATCGCCGGCTTCACACTTTGAAAAATGCAATTGTGGTTTAGAGGGGTCTAGGAATTCGATGGCCAATAGGAAATGCGATTGAAGCAAACACGGCGTCAGGTGATTCATGGGTATGTAGTACAGGAAAATAGGCCTTACTGTGGCGGGAAATTCGAGCAGGCTTAGCAATCTCATTTGAATATTGAAAGCGGGAGTCTATTTACAATAAATTGGTACTGAGACTAAATAATATTACAATAAATGTGGTGATTTATATACACATTAGCATGATTAATTAACCAGTGACTTAATTAACATAATGATTAATTTCTAAATACTCTAAAAATATGAATACCGAACATCTGTTTTGACGCTATTAGCTTTTCTTAACGGTATTGTAAGAGAATGGTCCGAGGGGGGCTGAGCGTTATAGTGTTCGTAACAATCAAAAGGTCGACGGCTCGATCCTGAAAAATGTAGTAGATTTTTGATGTTCCGAATGTGGGTCCATCTGTCTCTGATCATGGGCTTTAAATATGATCCTGTGATGATAGCTCAGTGGATAGCACCATAGATAAAACATACTCCGTGTTGGTTAGTCTATGATAGCACCTATGGTGGAAGGGATAGCACCATTAAATTTAATAACCAATTCCAACTGCGTCTGGGCACAGAAAACATACTACTATAACCGGTCTGGGTCCGGAAGACCAGAAATGACATCACTTGTAGTATGCTTGTAGTCAAACCAGTGGCTATAACCATTGACTATATATACCTACAGGTCAATGCTATAACAGAACAGCAACAGAAGCGCGTTAAGGTCCGTGACAAGGAGCCTCCACGACAACCTGCCACCACTCCACATAACTAAGCACAAAAATATTTAATTGTTTATAATTCGTTTTCTTATAGTACACAATAACTCGATTCTAACGACGAATGGAATTTACTGAAATCATCGGTAAAGCTTTCGACTCAAGCAGAAGGTGTTTGTCTTCTGCCTTGTGTTCGTGTTGTTTGTCTAGCGGTCTGTCTGTCTGTGGTGACGTCACGTGACTGTGATGAGATTGGTGTTCCATTGATTGTTTTTAATATTGGTTGCTATTATCAAATTGAGGTTAATTTATAAGAAATAGTTAATTTCGGGCACAATAATAGATTTGGGAAAAATTATTAAACAATAGTTGATTATCATGACTTCTTCAGTTCACAAACTTATCATTACTGTTGGATTTATTTCACTTCTACACGCTGCCTACTCAGCCGCCCAACGTAAGCTGCATTGTATAGTGTATACTTTTACCTTTGGTTTGTTCAGGCCAAGGTTTATAGATTTCGTTAACAACTTTCGGGAACTTTCCCAAATGTTTGGCTTCTGATAACCCAGGTCAATAGGCCTAACTTACGCCTAACCCAAACCCACTTCCAGCACTGCCTATGTTTAGGGGTCCTAGGCCTAAGTTTAGTTAGTAAATTAACTTTAGTTGCTAGCTCAACTTGAACTGTAGAATAGGGAAAAAGATGGGCCTAAAGAAAAGGGGGGTACAGTTTCTTAATTGGGCTAATATCAATTGAAGCTATCGAATTGAAAATATTGATTAATAATCGATACAGTATTTTTAAATATATCTTATAAAATAAAACTATCATAACCTAACCTAACCAATCACACTTGCTGATGGTGAAAAAATCGCATGAAGGTTTACTAATCGAATCGATAGTTTCAATCAATATTACCGTAGCCCAGTTAAGAAACTGTACCCTAAAAGGGCTATTGACACAGTTTGTTGTTATCGTCAGGATATTGTGTTGACTCACATCGGTTTAATCAATTATTAGGCTTACCGTACATTATTAGGCTATTCTAATATTTGCTCAAGAGTTATAATGTATAACTTAAATTGTACTACGGTTCTTGGCTACTTTTTTGTGTCAGAACAAGGACAGCAGTGTGTGAGCATGGGCGAGAGTGTACCTATCCATTAAGAAGCATGTGTTGGCCATCTCTGTGGTGGGAGTGGGAAGGGCAGCTCTCAGTGTTGCCACCTGTGCTGATAGTGTCGGTACAGTCCCGACTTCGGTCACTTTTACCCGTATTCTATTTCTGTGTTGAACCTGGAGAGAGGGGGCCTTCCCAGATTGTTCCCTAACCAAAATTGGCAACCCCTGGTCACCTGTTTGTTTATTTGGCAGAACTTGTCATTTCAGCCAATCACTCGGTCCTCCAGTGACATTGTTAAGGGTTTCACATTAGTTAAGGGTTTTTTCGTAAACCTCCGCTCGGTGAAGTAACTTAAAACCTTAAGTAATATTTTAAATTGTAATTGACATTACTTAGGCTCTGGGAATGTTCCTGTAATAAACCTTAAAAAACTAAATTTACAAAGTTTAAGTTTTTTTCTTGTCATTCAAGTGAGAGATAAGTAAAAAATTTTCTTTATTCTTAGATAATTTATCATTTATTGAGGGGGTGTATGTACACTTGTCCCACAGGAAAAAGTACACTTGCCCCTAACGTGTTTTCACACAGGGTAAGTGTACGCCCCCCCCTAACTCCCCAAAATTGACTTTCAGGGCTATAAATAAGTTAGGCCTAACAATGTTATTTTTTAATTACCCCTAAAAAAATAAGTAAGATCGCCAAATTTCAGTTAGTTATCATTGTACCTATTTCAATTTTTAATATTTTTTTTTAATTTTCCGAGCGGCACTTGTGTTCTGAGTAGAAACGTAAGAGGTTCTTAAACACGTCTAAACTCATAAATCATAGCTAGAGAATTGTATAGTGATTATAATTTAAAAGGGCATAGTTTGAAATACTTTTGGCCAAGTTTTCATATTTTTTTGTTAATAAACAAACTTATTAGGCCTATTAGCTAGAAGTCCACATGCCCCAGGCGTACACCTACCCCACTTGACCTTATTTTAGTTACCTACCAAAAGAAGAGTACCTAGCCTAAGTTAATGATAGATTGATACAAATTAAAATACTGGTTCCAATAGTTTTATAGGCCTACTTATTTTCACTAATTATTTGATAAGATGGGGTCAGATTTAGGGGTACTTTCCTGTTAAAGGGAACATTCATTATTATCGATGATTTTTTCTCGATGTATCGATATTTTTGTTTTTCTCTACCATCCATTACAAATTGACAACTGATCCTGTTTAGGATAAAATAGTCTATTATATGGATTAAGAAATTAAGTTAAACTGCTCTTTAAGCTAACGTAACATAACTAACCAAATTTTCTGTACCATTAAAAAATTCAATTTGATAACAGAAAAGGCAAGTGGAGAATATTAACAGTTTTTAAATGTTACAGAAAGTTTGGTTAGTTATGTTAGGTTAGTTTAGAACAGTTTCATTTCAATATTTTTTTAAAATTATTGTTTGTTGAGACTGAACAATACTTATTTATCGTAGTTGTCAGCTGATAGGTTTCAATTCGTTAATATTGATATATCGAGAAAAAAAATCATCGATAATAATGAATGTTCCCTTTAACAGGAAAGTACCCAGATTTATTTAAGTTATGTAAATCGGCAGGTTAACCTTTTAACGCGTTGCAGTAGGAAAACCAAACTCAGCACATATTTACAACACAAGAAATTACACTTTTTCATCAAAGTTACAACTTTGCCCCAGGCCCCAAAATGGGATATTTTGGTGGCAGCCCCAAATTTTCAAATGTATACACCCCTCATGTGACCCCTCATTTTAAAGGGTTTACCAAGAGAAATTGAATGGTGCAAACCAGAGGTCAATATCACACCCCTAAGCAAAATGGCAGCCATTTTAATTATTTAAGATGAGCAAGCAAGATAAAGTCTGGACACACCCAGTTAACTTTAAAAATGTAATATTTTAATACTGACCAAAAAGTGAATTCTCTTTTTTTATAAAGGTATGCCGAGTTTAGTTTTCCTGCTATAACCTGTTAAAAAGTTAATAGGGAATATTTCAAAATGATTGCCATTTAGGTTAGGGGTGCGATATTGACCTCTAGTTTGCGTTATTAATTTGTCTTGAGAACCCCTTTAAAATGAGGGGTCTCATGATAGGTGTTCATATTTGAAAATTTGGAGCTGCCCCCAAAATACCCCATTTTAGGGGCCGGGTACGAGTTCTTACTTTAATAAAAAAGTGCATTTTTTAATGTTGTAAACGTATGCCGAGTTTGGTTTTCCCACTGCTACACGTTATAAAGTTAACTGGAGGTGCCCAGACTTTATCTTGCTTACTCATCTTAAATTAAAATGGCTGCCATTTTGATTAGGGGTGCGATAAGGACCTCTGGTTTGCGCCATTCAATTTCTCTTGATAAACCCTTTAAAATGAGGGGTCACATGAGGGGTGTTTACATTTGAAAATTTGGGGCTGCCACCAAAATACCCCATTTTGGGGCCTGGGGCAAAGTTGTAACTTCGATGAAAAAGTATAATTTCTTATGTTGTAAATGTGTGCTGAGTTTGGTTTTCCTACTGCAATGCGTTAAAAAGTTAACTGGGGGGTTCCAGACTTTAGCCTAACCCTCTATATACCCACTTCATCAATCTGATCTTGAACTGTGAATCCCCAATTAGCCTTAAAATATTGTGTAGACTAGTATTGCCTTAGGCCTATAGGCCCCTAAGTTTGTGTCTTGTTTCTTTTCATTCTAGAAAATATCAACTAAAACTTTAAATTCATTTTTACAGATAGATCATATTTGCGGATCACAGAACAACAGTTTATATCCCTGCCATTTGATGTAAGTATTGATTACCGGTATCCATTGAATTTGACAATTTCTAAGTTCACAAGTTGATTTGTAATAAAATTTGATAATAGTAGGTCTTCATGGTTTGGGCTTTGGAACAATATCATTTGAGTCCAATGTAAACAACTACTAAGGTACTGTACTAGTTTGTATTTTAGACCATTGCATCACTTTTCTTCAGGTTAAGTTAAAGATACTAGACTATCTGGTTTTAAGGGGACAGGGAGAGAAAACCGTCCTCCACAAACAAGTTGAAGTAAAACACTTTTAAACATGTTTATTAGCTGTATAAAAGGCAAATTTGTTGAATGTTTAGCACCACAACTCTTCCTACCCCCCTATTGGCGTCCATGCTTTGTGGACATAAAGTTTTCATTAAATCATATTTGTTAGATCACAAGCAAAAAGTAATAAATTAAAATCACTTGTTTTTTAATCAGAAAATGTTTTATGGTTTGATGCCTTTCAAAATCGCAGAAGAATCACAAATTGTTTTAGAACATAAGCCAATGGCCTAAATACAGTGATAGGCCTATATTATTTTTTAAATATCATAACAACCGTTTTTTTTTTTTTTTAATTAACTTAAAAGTAATGTAGCTTCAATATACAGTTTTTTCTACAGAAGTGTGTATTTTGCAGATAATTCTTCAAGGGATAATTAGTCTCTTTTTGACAATGTACGGTGTAATGGCCGTCGCTGGAGACTTCAAGGAGATAAGAGCCACTGTAGATTTAGAAGAGAAATCTTGGGAAACCCTGAGAAACCTTCCATCATTTTACGTCTTCAACCATAGAGGTCGAGCACTATCACCTGATTATGAGCCTCCTCCACCAAATGTGAAATACGTCGCACCAGATCTTTCACTACTACTTCAGAAGACAGAACTGACAAATAAGTGAAAATTAAGTTGTGTGTGAATTGTTAACATTGTGATCACTTTTCTATAGCACTTTTTGCAATCCTGAACAAAATTATAAAATAAGACATAATTTTCACAATTGTTCAGGACAGAATAGTATATTTCGTACCTAGGGCCGAAAATGAGGGTTTGCCGGCTCGAGATCGTTTTTAAGTTCGAGACGAAGTCGAGAACTTAAAAGATCGAGAGCTGCAAAACCATTTCGGTCCGTGGTACGAACGCTATTTTTCACCACACTATACCCTATTACCACTATTCACCACTACAATAATGCACACTGATAGTCAACACAACTACAACTTTAAGGTTATGTGAAAAGATAATTTGAGGAATCAGCAAAAATAAAAATGAATAGTTGCTAGGCAACGGTGACAATAACACAATTCTATTGCAATGCTATGGATTTTGATTGTGTATTTAAAATGCATTCATGTTTTAAGTAAGTAAGCGGACAGCTGATTTTGCGGCCCCGGCCTGTAAAAACCTGCTCGGTCCCCAAATTACGATGGCAGCTGGCATGGACAGCAAAACGTAACTTTCAGCCACCAATTAGCGTATGTAATACAGCCAAAAACATCATAGTGTGGTGAAAAGTGTATTTGATGGTGATAAATTCAAAACTGCTGCCTGTTACAGTTTTCTTTATGTATAAACATAGAATTTTGTTGTTTAGTGGCAGAATTTATTGTGATTAAATTATCTGGGCCTTAAAATGCTAATTTTTAAGTAGGTACCTTTATTTCCCTTAGGCCTACTGTTCTCTGGTTGCTGTTTGGGTTAGGACTAACTTTTAAAACAATCCCACCCTTTTACAAGCAAATTTTAACCGAATCATATTCTCAACATTTTGTAAGACTTTATTTCACATCGTTGGTTGAATTCTAATCAAATTATGATTAAAACTTAACATTTCCTAACCTTGACTTCATATTAATTTTCTATTATGCTTAAGGCACCTTTGTCAACAAAACATAAGGTTTTTGTGTGGACTAGGCTTAAGAAAGTTAATCAGTAACCCTGGACCTATAAAGCACTCTCCAGAAATGAAACAAAAGCTAGGAAGCAAAGGCACAAAGTAAATTGCTTTTTTTAATTACCATTGTCAATCTGCTCATGAGCTCTAAAAATTACACCCCAATTGTGAAAATTGTTCAAGTAGGATGGCTGGAAAAGGGATATTAGAGAGACACCCTTACTGTATTAATAATATAGACGAGGTGTTAGCCCGTCCTACGTACGGGAATTCAGTAGTCAGTTAAAACCGTGTACAATTCAGATCAGCTACTTTACACAAATAAAGGCAAAGTATCTTGCAGTTTTAATGTGAAAAATCATCTTGTAAACAAATGTTGTGTGACCAAATATGTTTTTATTCCATCATAGGCCTATACGATATGCATTTTAAATCCGATAATTTTACAATAAAACAGCAATTCTGCAAATTTTACGATGTGAAAAGCGTTGAAGTGAGATTTGCAGCCGATTCGCACAGACGCACACTGATTATAAGTACGGTAGGGGTACACTTCCATATCTGTTGGCACAAACAGCCAAATGAGTAATTTTGATTATTCGATTGTTTATTTTAATACATCGTTTGGTTAGGTTAACACCTTTCTAACCAAACGATATATCGATCAATATTTTCATTCGGTTGTTTGTGCCAACGGATATGGAAGTGTACCCATAAGTAGCCTACGGTAGAGAGAGTAATTTTGTCAATTGAGAAGTGTATAGACCTAGTCAACGATACCACCTTCCATAGCATACCTGCCTCTTCCATAATTATTATCACCAAAATACAACTACTATACACAATTTTCAGTAGGTCTGAATAGAAACTACCTAAAATAAAACGATAATATCCAATAAAATTCACAGTACACATAATTTAACTTTGGTGTCCTAACATCAAAACTAATCGTCACACCTATCCTTTATATCAATTTCACTGCATTAATTGCTAAATAAATAAGTGTAAACAAAGAAAAGTAAAAACAACAACAGTTTGTTTTGAAACAGCTGTTTGGTTCAAATAACATTCATTTGAAAAAAAGAACTGGTCACATGTAGCAGGAATATAAAAAGTAAACACGCTAGTAAAGCTAATGACGTAATTGTCAAGACTCGTAATTTCGACTTGTAATTAAGACTCGTGTACAGAGCCTCGATTTGTACTGTGGTTTAATTAATTTTGGTTAAAACTGTGGTTTAAGTTGTGGTTTAATTATCTCTACTAATCTTACTTATTTCCTATAATCAATGACAAAATAAGAGTAACTAAAATAACCTCATAGTTCCATATTTTATATTTAACCAGCTGTTAGTTAAAACAAATTATATTGCTCTAAAACAAATCGAAGATTACAAAGATTGCTTTAAAAAATAATTTGAACATCCTAGTATTTTACTACGTATATTTAATTAATCTGTCATCCTCTTACAGAAGAATTGAACGTATCAATGATTAGCATTACACATAGTATAAATAAGTCAACCCTAAGTATGTCTTTACACTTTTTATCCAAATGCTGAATTTGTGACACAAAATTTGAATGTGTACAGCTGTTATGGTTAGCAAATTATTTTATGCCAAAAGCTAGTTTAGAATCTTAGCGTCGGCTGCTAGACTTTAAAAAAATTAAAACTTAATTGCTAAAAAACTGGGACCCTAAACTAAAATTATGGCTTCGACATTCCCTAGTTCTTAAAATTATCTTTCTTTCAACACAAAAATCATGTAAATCCGTCGAGTGGTTGATTCAGAATCGTGAAATAAAAAAACACTGTTTCGTTTTAATATTATAGATATACAGGATGTTTAAAAAAACAAACAACCTTAATCTGGGTGCCTCAGACAAACATAATCTTTAAAAAGTAGAGACCTATTACATTACCCGTTTTGCCTCAGAATCAAACCATCAAAATTTGCAATTTGCACATGGGCCCCCTCATAACATGAATAATTAGGCAACATTTGTTCAAATTCTTTATTTTTTTAACAAAATTAGTAGGCGTACACAATACATTTGTAATAACAGTTATATTAAGGCACATATTAAATGTTTTAACAGTAGAGTTTATTGCAACTATGCTATTAAATTCATTGTTTGTATACCCTATACTATTATAAAATTATTGCAACATTTTTAAGTACAAATAAACGAACAAATTAGGAACAATATTTTTTATATTGAGCGCGTTCTGGGAACATGTACCGGTGCAAAAAATGTGTCGTTCTGGGAGACCGGTGAGTTAACCAAGCAGATAACAACATAATACACCGGCGGCCTCTGATTGGTCAGTTTCTTGGACAACTGGATGCAGCTACGGCAAGATGGCGGATCCATCAAATAATGTTAATTAGTTTTATAGGTTATATTACGTAATGAGTGAATAATTTGTTCTATGAGGGGGTTATATTACGTTATAAGTGAATAATTTATTCTGTGAGGGTAAGTTTGTTTGATTTAAATATTATAAAGTAAATAGTAAATGGATGTGTAAATTATAATCCGATGTGTACCGTAAATCGGTGACTAACCGTTCTGAGATACCAAGACTCTTGCCTCGGGCGATACTGTTGAGTAAGTCACCGGTTCATGTTCCCAGAACGCGCCCATTGAATCAAATTCGTTGATAACAATAAAACTGGCTAGTTAGGTTGCAATTATGTTTCTAGCACATGAATGAATGGTTTTGCTAAGGAGTAGCTTATTGATTTTAGTCCAACACTCAATAACTAATGTAAAGACTACCACTAAAGACTAAAGACTTAACACTGATTTTATTGAGGTAATTTTTACTCTTATGGGCTACTAACGACTATTCTAAAACTATCCCTTCGGCTTTATACATGAGTTAGTAGCCTATATTTTATTTGGAATATTTTTATCAAACATAAATAAAATAGTATTACAACCTAATTTCTTGATAAAAAAAATTAAAAAAAAAACAACACTTTGTGTCTTAAAGTTATAAATAATCTTTGCTCTTAAAAACTATTTAACCATCAGCCGATTTTCCTCTTAGATAATTGTATTATTTTGTATACCTCCATGTTGAATAGTTATGTGCTACTAAGCCTACACATCTTATCTTAGTTACGACCTAAAATATGATTAACAAGAAAATCACATAATGCTAGTTGATCTATTTTTGATAGTCTATATCTTATTACCTGTGTATAGAAAGCACTTAATTTTTTTTTGTCATGAAGTTGAGTTTAAAGCACCATTGGTTAAAAAACAATCATCTATAAATATAAAATTCATGTATACAATGGACAACAATATAAGTTAAGGCACTTCAAGTATAACAACAATAGATAAAATCTCTAAAGACGATCCCTTACCTTTGTTGCGTAACATAAACGTATTTTAAAGTTTGTATAACATTAAAAATTGTATCAATAAGGCACTTACAGTTCCCAACTAACAAAATGCAACAGCTACCATATTTCATAATATAAACATCTTACCTTTACAACACACCTAATACTGTTGATATCAGTCATGTATTTTGCACTTTTACTGGCCTGCCAAGATTCTTGGTTAGTTTAATTCTTTTTCTTCTTGCTAGAAACAGTGTCTTGTTTGGCAACTGGCTTCTTACTGCAAAGCCCAAACATGAAAGACAATATTTTCTTGAACACCAGTAATATCAAGAACAATGTGGCTACGGCAGCCGCAACGATGTCCAACAAGATCAGCTGGTACCAAGGCATCACAGCTGACTGGGGACGCAGGTGGTGTGCTCCGTTGTGTCGTAGAACGTACTCCACCCAGAACACGGACGTATCCTGCGGCGACATTGGTCGGTGACGAAACAGTTCTGACACCTTTTTCGCATTTTGAATAAACCTGAAAAATTGTTCAACAAATTACGAATATATCAATGACTGTAAAATAAGGATTGAATTGTCTTGATTTCATACTGATATTCTGGTGTAGGCTTGCGATTTAAAGATAAAATATACTGGATAACAAACAGAACTGAAGACAAAATTAAAAACTCAAACATCAACATTTACCAACTTAGTTATTTCAATGTAATAAGGTCCAAAAAACTATATTTTTCATCAAAGGCTATTAGAAGAATTAGAACAAGGATTTCAGCGTGACATAAAAATGTACAAAAAGTTTGGCATGCAGAAAAAAACTAGAATATTTTGTCTGACAAGTTAAATTAAGGTTTTTTTGTCCCAATAATTATTTACATTTGCCATATGAATGTCTTATAATTTTGTTGTTTGACTGTTAAAAATAATGCTAAAATTGTTAAGATTTATTTCCTCATCATTAATATTACTTTCAAATAAATCCTATGACCTAACCCAGAGGTCTCTAAACTTGTTCGAACGTTAGAGGAGGGTCGATTAGGAGGATTAGAGGTTCACGACTGAGACGGTGGCATCGTCCTGTATCCAACTACTAGGAGGTCAAGAATTGTGGATATTTATAGGCATGCATTGTGGATACGAAACTCCCTGGTGTGGATTAACGTCCGCAGTAGTGAGTACTACGATTATCCGCAGTACTATCCTAATAATTAGACCAATTCGTTAATGCCAAGGCTAAAATTAATGTGGTTCGGATTCCACTATAATCTGTAGGTCCCTTAGTTGCAATTAGCTGTATGGGCTATTAATTAACAGCTGTGTCTAGGAAATATGTCGGCCTTAGTCACTAACAAGACTACAAGATCGCGCCACTCATCCTACACTCATCTCCATTCATACTTGGCTTAAAATACCTACACTGTATGGTCGCCATTTCAATGAAAAGCATTAAGTATTAAAGGTCTCCCCTGGACATTTTTGTAAAACTTTACTTGCAAAGTTCACACTTTAAGCTCTTTGACAAAGAAAAAGATTAGCCTAATCTCTTGCAATCTGAAAAGGGTTGTTATAGTTCAAAACTCCCTTTTCCCATTGGTGTAATTTAAGTTGTTATTTTCCTGTTGGATTATTAAAAAATCTGAAAGCTTAGTAAAATAATTCAGTAAATACCTAACAGATTATTCTTAAGTATAGGTAATAACTTTTAAGCTAGGTATTTAATAGCTGTAGTGAGATATCCGCCATCAGGCCCACTTTTATAAACGGGCAGACTGGGCATATGACCAGGGGCGCCGGTGGTTGGGGGGCGCCCGAGGGGCGTCCTGAACCACCGCCTGCAGTAGGAAAAATAGAGTTTTATCAGCCGGGATTTCAAAAATAAAATGGGCGATTTCAACTTGTAGTTAAGTGATTTTCCCTTATTGCAAAAGTAAATAAATACAACAATATTGAAAATACTCGAGCTTCAGGTTATACCTCGTGTAGTGAGGGAAAGGCAGGCAGCAGTGTGAACCGGGCGCACTCACTATACTATCAGAGGCAGGGAGGCTTGCATGGTGGAAGGAAAATACATAGGTGTGCTATTCCCGTCAGATGCTGACGTCACTCAGTTTGCAAACACCATTTTACCATTGAGAAAAATTATAAAAACAATAACAATCAAATCCAAAAATTAAAGCTTATGCCTATGTATATTAGTTTTAAAACGGAGTTAAACATGGATGAACCACTAAGTCAAGCTACTAATCCAGTTGTTCAGGCTAGGCTAAACTGAGCTCTGAAAGCATCCATCTCAAAACGGCCACAACTTAAGAACAGATTCTAGAATTTGATTTATTTTAAACTTTATTTTTCTGAAATAGATAGCTAAACTGTCCAGTGCATTCATCCCACACTGCAAATAGCAACACTCAAAACTTAGTTAGGTAAGCTAGTGGTAGGTTACAACTAATTATTATCCCTGTGACCGATTCAGTGTAACATCTGACAGCAGTCAGAATCAGACGACATTATTGACAACGACACGACTCGATAACTGACGAAAAGAGTAATTTAGTGATAATAATTATTATAAAAAGCGTTGGTAGGTTACAACTAATTATTATCCCTGTGACCGATTCAGTGTAACATCTGACATCAGTCAGAATCAGACGACATTATTGACAACGACACGACTCGATAACTGACGAGAAAGTAATTTAGTGATAATAATTATTATAAAAAGCGTTAAAAATAAAAAAATAAAATGTATCGCTCGTTTATATTGGCAAAAGTATTAAATAAACAGTAATACAGCTGAGGATAATGTAAGAATAGTCTTTTAATGGATTAGAAACTCATTACTCTGGAAAGTTTTATAATGTAATACAAATTCTTATACATCAAACTATTTAATGAAGTGGAGCAAAGTCGAGTCGTCCTCTTCCTATCTGTCTCTAGTTGACAAAATTGTATGTCAGAAGCTAATACACATCAGAAGTACAACAGTTACCTCGGAAAGTGCTTCAAGAGCTTTCTGCCCATGCGCAAGCTGAGGTGCCCGTGGGTACAGAACGCCGAGTTATGTCTTAAAATGTAAACAAATGACAATAATGGCGGAATGTTTTCTCATAAGGCCCATGTTAAATTTTCAAAAGTTTGTACTCATATTATGGCGAAAATAGATTTTTCCTGGCTATACCACTGGTCTAGAACTTATTTTTTACCCAGAACTTAGTTATTCCGTAAAAATAAACGTTTTTGTTACTGCGGACTTGCATTTGCTATTTTATATTCAGGTCGGATTTATTTAAAACTAAACATAACAAAAAAATCCCCCTCTTCCAAGTAAGGCTATAACGGCACATTGCAAAACGAAAAAATTAAAATTCTCAGAAGTCATCTGAATGTTCCTCTACCTCTGCGCGCATCCCTTGCAGTGATTCAATGGTGTCAGATTCAGACCAGCTTGTCGAGCAACTCTGTCGAGTGCTTGAAACTGTGCAAATGTAGTCTTCTTCTATAGAAATAAAATTACAGTTTTGTCTGTCCATTGCGTAGAATCATGCAGTTTTTGGTTATTTTTACGTTTCTAGGCTATGAAGGCTCAAACGAGTCTCATCTCAATTTCTGTCTGTCTGTCTTTCTGTCATTCTGTCTGTACTGACAAAATGTAAATTTACGCTGCCTACTCCGAGAAAACTATATTACCGATTATGATTCAAATCTTTTTCCTGCATTCACTGGATTGGTTATAGTGAGTTTGGCTATTAAAATATGGCCTTGCTACTTTGGAAATAAAATAACGAACCATCAAATTCTGCAGGTTTGCTTCGGCGGTGGTATTTCACTGTTAGTAGGGTAGTGATTAATATTAAAAAAGTACCACATTTTAAAACTTATCTTGCCTGCTATAGTTGGTAGATAATCAAAAATAGGATTTTTCAAGATATGTTTGGCCTACAGGATGTGTTAGCGAATTGTATCACTCAGTTTATACGTAAACTAAATTTACTCCCATGTGCCTATGGAAGTTTTGGTTTTTCTTTTCCGGGTTCGTTTGGCTCTTCCACCCGACCGATTTTCATGATTGAAGCCTCAAATTGAAGGTATGCACGCAGAGATTTCACATCAAGCATCGGCATATTGATATTTATTTATTTAATAATGGTATTTATTTCAATACTGCGGGGCAGCATAGGTCCTCTAGTCTTATATATATGTATTTTTTTAAATGGTTTTTATTTTCCGAGTTCATTTAAATTGGCTCTTCTACCCGACCGATTTCCATGATTGAGGTCTTATGTTTAAGGAATGCTCGCACAGATTTCACATAAAGTATCGGCAATATTTATCTAATGTATTACTCCACCAAAAATATATATTTGATTTTTTTAAATTTCTACTTCGATTTAAGATGCATTTCACCAGTTACAATTTTATCTAATCCTATATATTTTGGTCTAAGAACCTTCAGTGAAATACCGCCTTTAATTTAAGCTATTAGTTATTGAAATCGGACGAGTTTCAAGCAAACACAAGATGAATAACCAAAATAAAACATATTTTTCATAAGGTTTTTCTATGGTTTAAAACCAATAGTTCCACTATTATTTATGTTTTTTATTTATGTTTTAAATTTAAAATAATCCGTGAATTATATTAATTTGAGCTATTAATCTTTTGAAACAGTTAAGTCCAAGATACTGTATTATCGATAAAAAATCTTAAATTTGACATAAATCGAAGGCATATCTTTTAGTGGAGACCTAGGTTTCTATGTCAAAACGTTATCGTCAGTCTTGTTGTATCATAAATTTGATTATTTCTAGGATATGCTATGTTATTTTAAAGCTGCGTAGCAGCACGAGTCCTCTAGTTTTGTTTAAATTTCAAATCACACTTAATTTTATATAGTTAACCCTCTATCTAGTATTTGTCCAAAAAAGGAAACGAAAAGTTGACGTGTGGGATAGCAATGTCATGTTATTACATTTCGGACATTGGACAAAACAATTAAATATTGTAACCAGCAAACGGCCTCAAACCGTAAAAAAAATCAACGCTGGAAGACACGTATTGAGAACATTTGGTTTTTCCTTAATTTACGGTATAATATAGTATAAAACATCTACCATATCTATAATAATGTTCTACCACTGCACCTAAACAGCAGAAAAAAGCAAATCCCTAAAGATTCGCACAATATGACAAATTATTTATAAATCAAAAACAGTATATTTTCTGTGCCAGTAGTTAATGCGTGATTGAACTTCAAACAAACACACAAACTTTCACATTTATAATATTAAAAAGATAAGATGTATTAATTAAATATTAATTACTAGCTGTGTGCCCGTTCTACGCACGGGGATCCTCTAGTGGTCAGTTGAAACCTTCCTAAATAAAGAAAAACTATTGGTTTGCATTGCATATTTTCAAATATGCTGGCCAAACTATTGTAGTGAGGCCATATTTTAATAGCTAAAGACACTTTCGCCAATCCAGTGAATACATTAAAATGATTCGAGGATCTTGATAGGTAATCTCGTTTTTCAGGAGAAGGCCGCGTAAAATGGCCTTTGGACCGTGACAGACGGAAGATAGACAACAACGGAATTGAGATAATAATTTATGATTGAGATAATAACGGAATAATTGAGATGAAACTTGTTTCGGATTCTTGAATGTTTAAAACGTAAAAATAATCTAAAAATTTATGATTCTGAGCAATTTACAGACAAAACTCTAATTTTATTTATATAGATTAGTACCTGTGGTGATTTTTATTAGAAATTTATTGAGGTAAATAAACAGCAAAGTTAAAAACCATCCGACCAGTGTTTTTATTTGAAAAGTACGTAGGCCTATTTGATTTGCTTTGTTTTCTAAACTAAAATATCTATTTCCTGATCTATTTTTAGTTCCTGGTTTCGAAACATAATTTGGCAAAACAATTATTAATTATTAATAATTAATTATTAATTATTAATTCATTAAACAACTTGATCGAAAAATAATTTCTAAACATTGGAGGACAATTAAAAAACCGTTGAATTCTAATAAACCTAGCTGCCGTACCTGTGTTTTACATCGGAGAGGATTTTTAAGAGAAAAAGTTTGATAAACGTCACATATTTCAAATCCCACTCCAAACACGTCATGTTAATACGTTTACTTCCTTAAATTAAGAAAGTCACAATCTCCAATTAACAGGCCCGTAGCAAAAATTAAAAGTTTCACAATTCAAATCGTTTCTACCTTTTGGACCGCAAAATCAAAGCACTGCATTGACAGCATTTACAGCTGACTTCGTTAAATATTCTGTTATCTACATTCTTCAAAAATGTAAACATTGTGAAACTTTGGAATCCCATGGGGCGTAACTCAAAGAAAACACGTTAAATGTAATCGGTATATTTGTTAACCAGGTTCAGGGCTACCTCTTGAATTGATATAGATAATAATCGAAAAATAAAGAAATATAAGTTGATTGATTATTGGCTCTTACAAAAGGGTAAACAATCAAGGAACATGATTTAATTAAGTAACCACACATCACTGAGTCTAGTCTATATCTTCATTCTTTCTTGTAAAAATCGCTTTGATTGTGGCTATATAAAATAGGGAAGTAAGATTTCACTGTACAACGAGCTCAAAAAGCTCGAGAACCAGCAATAAGATGGAAATAACCGGCAGAACCTTTAACCATCCACTGGCTCGCTAGTCGCTACCCCAGGTCGGTCGGTAGCCGGGTAGCCCATCAATGGAACCCGTTAGGCCCGCCCCGACCTCTCGCCGCAAGAGAGACAAGAATTTTTGCCTTGTTCCACGCGCCTTTGATTGTTTGAGGCGGGAAAACTATTTGTGTGCTACGGCCCGCGCAACACAGGATATTGTTTTCGTATTAAGTTGGCCTTTTTCCAAGATTACCGTGACCGTTAACTTATTTTATGGACTCCCTTGGAGAATAATTCAAAACTACAAAGAACATTTCTAATCCCACAGTGTACTAGCTATTTAAATTATAAACACTTTGGTGTTTGAAAAATATTTTTGGACGATAAATTTTGCAGCTATTTGAAATCATCCAAGATGGCCGCTTGCCTCCAAGGACTCAACAATAGGCCTAATTGTGCGACTATAAAGCAATAACTTACATTGCGCTTGCACATATTTGTATCCACAGTTGCCAGGACGACTATTAAGACGACCAAAGATTACATTGACATTTACGTATTTAATCTGTAGAATAGTAATTGTTAAGTAATCTGGACGACAACTAATTAAAATGAAGTGCGAAAGATGGGTTATGAGAGTGCTCAATGCCTGAAGCATAATCCGTTTGTTTGAGATGCAAATTTTCAAGCTTGTAGAACAAATAAATATCACAAAGTAGAAGGGCAGGGGTGAAAGTGACTGAAGTGACAGGATACCCGGTGGATTTTCAGTGACTGGATTCCAGTGGTATGCGGTAAAATATATAGTGACTGGCTTAGCAGCACAAATTTTACGTGACTGGCTTTCCCATGCAAATGCGGTGGTGACTGCATTAGCATAGCATTTTTTACGTAATTATATTTTAGTATTTTTAAGAAAAAAAGAGATATATACGTTCAGATATGTCTAGGCTTAAGATATTTACCAATATATATTATATATATATCATAGTCTTGAAATATATTGGGGGGTGCAACTGACTGACTTCCAGTGTATATTTTATGTGACTGGCTTCCCGGGCGCGGCCGTGTATATATATGTACATATATATATATGTATGTACATATATGTATATATATGTGTATATATATGTATATATATATATATATATGTGTGTATATAAGGGGGCGCTGCTTTTGGGTTTGCCCAGGGCGCCACTGACCCTTAACGCGGCCCTGTCCGCCATCACTAAAATAAAATGTGCAAAACTTAATTGTATGAAATAAATTTGCTAAAAAACAAATCATTGAACAAAAATGTTAATTTTTCAATTTATTGCCAATACAAAATTGTTTAAGATAGAAATAGAGAGAAATATATTTGAAAGTAGGGCCCGTAAATACTGAGTACGATCATATCACACATCGCTCATGCCAACGCAAGCCATATAAAAACCTTTAGGCCATAGTTTGGAGACCCTTGACCTTACCAAAGTATTTCAAAAATATAATTTGTAACTAAAATCAAATTGGCAACTCTCTGGTAAAACAATGAACTTTAAAATACATACTGTGGCTTGCCGACAACGCTCATAATAGCTTTGGTCATGGATTCCTCGGTCATTGTGTAGAAATCAAGCCCGACTCCAACGCCCAACTCTTCGTACAAACGCACATTGAACGGCTGATCCCCGAAGAACGGAATGCCCACGACAGGTTTGCCGTAGTGAAACACTTCATGTTGACTCAACAGACCTCCATGGGTGATGAACAGCACACAGTTGGGATGCGCTGTAATAAGCAAAACATTTAATTTAAATTTTACTGAATTAAATTTTCTGTTTAATTTGAAAACTAAAATAAACGACCAACGGTATCAGCAATCTGAAACATACTTTCTCCCATAAGCTTGTCAACAACCTTTATCATAGGTAAGCAGTGGGAGTAACTAACTACGATATTTTATAGGAAAAAATCACAAAAGTTGCAATAACGTGGGGTTGCACTATTTTGTTTAGAATTATTATAAAACCGTAACACATAAATTTCAATCAAAACCGGCTTTTTTCCTCAAATAAAAATCTGATTTTTTTATTTTATGGAGTTTTTAATGGGAAAATAACATAAGCTACAATAACTTTGGAACCATAACTTTTACGGAAAGGGGATCTGTACCATTTTGTTCAGAATTTAAAGGACTATAACATACTTAATTTGCATCAAAATCATTCAGGCCATTTTTTATAAAATCCGATTTTTCCATTATTTTATGGGAAAATCACCTTAAAAATCCAAATCTTGAAAAAATCAAAAGAAAAACGCTTGGAGATACCATGGATTAGTTCCTACATACCAAATTTCATAAAAATCAGACAGGTATGGTCTATAGCTCAGTACACATCCAAACACACACACACACCCAGACATCACTTTGAAAACCACTTTTTTGGGTTCAGGGGGACCCAAAATGGATACATCCCCTCAACACTAAACTCGAAAATGTTGATGAAAACAATACTTTCTCCATATAGGTAGGGGGAAAGTAAAAATGTAGCTTATGAATTCTACTTAATTACGCTTTTAAACTGTTAAAATAATTTTTGAAAAGATCAAACGAGAGTTTCATTGATGTGCGTTTTGTCCTGAGAGGTTCTAATAGTTTGCAAAAAGAATTAATTCACAAATGATTCCTGTAACATCGTTAAACATTTTGGAAAACCAATGAAGGTACTGAATTAAAGGCAGGATGAAGGTAGGATTAAATAAAAAAGGTGCTAGTTCAGTAGGCCTATTGAACCTTGAGATACTCCTTGTAGCTCATTTGTTATTTTGGCAGTGTCGGATTATTGCATATTCCGTATGACTGCCTTCTAAACACAGCTTAAATCATTTAGTACAGGCCACTATTCCGTATTTTATTGTGCTTTCTCTTATTTTAGTAGTAACCCCTTGCTTTACTGGATACGTAGCCTATGTGGATGGGCTAATGCAAGGTTAAAAGAGACTGCCAGCCTCTTTAAAAATTATAAAATACCAAAAACAAAATTTAAATTTTACTCCCTTGAATGCAATTGTGTGCAACCGACATCTTACGTTCAGTTTCAAAGTCTGCTGATTGCTCATGACTACCTATTGGGGTATACTATAATGTTGTAGATTGTAAGATGACGTTGACTATACCAATTGTTGTAAACCTCTTTCAAACGAAATAACCTAAATTCGAAACATTGACAAACCGAACATACTAGGTAATACAAGACCGCCTCGCCCCTCTTTTGTAAAACAAGTTTTCAATGTACATATAAGTATAAAAAATGTATTAATAGTCAAAGATACAACTTTCAAAGAATAAGATAAAACAACACAAATCATGTGGTTTCTCAACAAACTCCCAAGTTCAATGTAAGATTTAATTTATGTGATTTATGATTGTTCTGTGCTAAACTATGTTTAAGGAAGGAACCTAAATCAAAGCATTTCTCACCCAGTACACCTTGCTGAGGCACCCATTTAGAGGTCATGACGTTCTTAGGCAGATCAGGAATGTTCTCTGCCTCTGTCTTCCACAACACTTTGTACGGCAGCTTGCGGAAAACATTAACAAATATCTGCGTGTACTTCTGAGGGAACAGATGGGTCGGGATTATCGATCCCAGGCTGAAGTATATGACAGCGTTCTTACCACTGTCAAGAAAGTCCTTGATATCCTGGAAAAATATATATTTGATTAATTCTATTCTGCTGACAATTTCAATTATAAAGATGGTTGAGTTGTTGCTCCCCTTTAAATCTGAAGGTAGGAGGTTCAAATCAAAGCGAGATTGTTTTGAAACCAAGATGCCACTTTTCATCTATCAATCAATGATGCTTTCCAAAAAAAGGTACTTTTATAAGGCAACAAAAGCCAGGGTTCAGACCAATGGCTTACAAAAGACATAAAGAATATCAAAGGCTTGGATAAATACAACAAGAAGAGTACAGTAACAATACTTATGTGCAAGATTCTATGCAATGTTAGGTAAAATGAAAAAAGACTCATTGACAGACAGGAAATATTATAACCTAGTGTTTGACTTGGTAGATTTTGTTACACAAATACTATTGTACATGTAAAAACAGCAAATTCGCAAAAGAGGGAAATTTCCGTTTATATGTTCTAGAGAATGGATTTTTTTCTTATTTTGAATTATTAATATTTCAACAGATTAGAAAAAATAATATTTAACGAGACATTTATAGTGTAAACTACGCATTTTATCAAACTGCTCCATTTTGTCTAGGTGTATTGTGAAACTACAATGTGTCAAACCTGTATAATAGGGACAAAGCATGAATAATTAATTAATTTGTTGGATACGTGTAAAAAAAATACATTTCTGACTGGTAAAACCTTTAGTTGCAGATTTGAAATGAATTTAATAAGTCCTTTATTAGAATAATTATTATAAGTGCATTTACATTTTAAAAGATAAAATTATCCAGTCATACAAAATGTGTTTCTAAATAAAAACTTGGTTGTTTAAAGATAGCCAATACCTACTTCGTGTAGGAATGAGTTAATCACAATTACAAGATTTATCTTATCTTTGGCAAACAAAAGAGGAATATAATGATTATTTGGAATGTTTGGGTTGGGTCACAGAACGAGATTATCTTGCAAGTCATTCTGTCATTATTGACACAAACAGCGAAGAAGCAAAAACGACCTTGAGTCAAGCAAATCTTTGATATTCAAGGAAATGCTATTCAAATTACAAGGCTTTCAAATATTAAGTGGTAAACTCCATTTATGAATTATCTATCCTTCAGAGAAAAAAAAATGCATAGTAAATATCAATAACTTGTTTTTATTATTTTTATCCACTTCATGCAAGAGATAACAAGTCCTTTACCCCAACATAAAGGATTCAGTCATGATTAACCAACTTTCCAGGAAAACACATGAAAAGACAACCAATGACTTAAACTATTTTTTAGCGGTTTTGATTGAGGACGTAATTTAAATATAATATAATATATTTAATAGGCCTACTTCATTTACATACTAATTTGCTTCCTATCATTGTGTAGCCTATATATTTAGGCCTATTTGTTTAATAAAATAATAAAGTCATAGTCATCTGCATATTTTTGCCCTGTGATAAAGTTTTTAAAACTTGCATCTTAATTTATCTAACCTTGGGAAGAGGATCCACCTTGTCGTTGATATGGATACCACCAATAGGTATGATGTTACTGGGTACAGACAAAGCGTAGCCGACGGTCGGGTGGTAGTTAGCCAGCGTAATAGACACGTTAGTCACCATATCCTTGACAGAAGGCATCTTTGGATCGTTGAACACTTTCTTGATGATGGCATCATGTTTAGGAAGATGATCCAGGTAGTAAAAGCCTAATGTGTTTGCGACAGTGAGTGCGTTACGGAATCTTTCGACGATATCCATTTTATTGGTAGTTGCTAAACTGACCGACTCGGGATAGTGGGCTAGCTGCAGATCGTTCCCATGAACGCTGTTTAACACACTCCACGGTCCAAAACCATTCAGGTTTATTGCTGGTGCTTTGAAAACATGGCCGAAAGCCAGAAGAGACTCTTGACCGAATAGCGCTTCAGACAAAACTAGATCAAACTTTTCTTTTGAGGCCAGTAGTTTTTTGATTTCTTCAAGTTGAAATACTTCTTCGCACAAGCGGAGTCCCAGGTTCCAAACCACAAAATTACCAATTCCAATAAACGAATCTTGGTTGGTAAATTGTTTGAAGTTTTCAAAAGACCAATTTTCTGAAACAAACCCAATGAGTAAGCAGGACATTGTTTTGATAACGGGCAATAAAATAGGTCTATATTTTTAAAACAACAAAAAACATTATTGAACTTGAATCATTGAACTTCAATGCCAGGTAAAGAAATGATTTAAATCTGTATTTAATCAACTTCAATCAACTCATTGTATCCTCCAGATTTAACTTTACTGGAAAATATGTAAAAATCATAAGTTGTATTAATAACATTTAGGATATATTTGAAGTTAGGTACCGTACCTTTCATCTCTTTTTCAAACTGTGTATGTATCTCGACATATTTTATGTTGGCAGGAGGCTTTGATGGTACCAATGCGCTGTAAACAGTGATTTGGTGTCCTCGAGCAGCGAGAGCAGTAAATACTGCATTGGTGTAAATCAAGTGACTCTTCCCTGCAAGCGGGAGAATCGCCAGGATGCGAGCTCCAAAGATAGAGCTCACTGCAGATAGCAACAACAAACACAGTACCAGAGACTTCATCCTGTAAAGAAAAACAAATAATTGTTTTGTAAGTAACTTATCATTTTTAGATTAATTTAGTAGCCTATGCCTTTTGTAACTGCGTAGCTCAGGGGTGCAGCCCAATAATCTAGAGTCAATGCTAGAGCCATTACATAATCTATGATGTATCCCAAATGTATACAGGATACAGGTTTCATGAAAATTTAACACAAGCTGGAGAAGAATAAAACTACCTCCCTATGATTTGCAGTAGATCCTTGACACTCGAAGACCTTTTATCAATAATTGACTGTTTCAAACTTAGAGGACAAAAACACGATACCGGTACATCAAGAAACACTCAGCCAAAGCAGGGTGTTAAAACTCAATGAAGTAAAAAAAAAGAATTTTAAGAAGAGTTTAATTAAATTTATCCCTGCCTGCAGGTATGAGTGTGGTTTTTGAGTTTTGTGCTTTTTTCCTGTTTTGTAAATTTTTACATTTTTCCTCCGCATGTTTTACAGTTTTTATTTAGGTATCTATTTATTTTGCATGGTATGCTTTTGGACTTTCTGGTGTGCTTTATGATGGACTTAAGCTTGTGAGTCAAGAGGAATGGCAACTCTTTTTTGTTAGTATTAGTGACTTGGCCTATTGTAAATAATACTTAACGACTCAATAAATCTTGAAGTTAAATTCAACTTTTGCTTTTAGCTCTCTCTCTCCCCCCCCCCTCTCTCTCTCTCTCTCTTGTAGTGATGGGGTAACCGAATAGTTTCAATAACCGAATAATCGGGCAGTTATTTTTAGCGCCAATCGGTGATTTATAGACAATGAATCACCGAATCAATTTTAGTCACTATTCATGTCCCAAACCACAAATATTTTAGTCATTTAGCGTCAATCGGTGATTTTTAGTTGAACAACTTTATTCACTGTTCCAAACAGGTCGCAGTCTCAGTTTGTTATAAATGATTTAAGTTATAGGCTAATGGTAAAACATTAAAAAGGCAAAAACAATAAAAGTGTAAAATAAATTTAACTGAAAAACTTTTTGTTGGCATTAAAAAAATTCTACTTCATTGCTAGGCCCATTATTTAACTGTCCTATTTAATTTGTATATTGTATGTATTGTTAATTGTCGTTCTCGTTATTTGATTTATCCTTCACATTACAAGACTAAATTTCATTTTTCTAAACAAATCACCGATCCAAATTTCTGGGTATGACTAATTTAACCGAATCAAGATAAAATAACCGAATTAGTCTGTTAGGTAACAATAACTGATTGATTCGCTTATTTTCATTCGGTGATTCCCATCACTACTCTCTTGTCTCCTGAGGCGCTTGCAAGTCATTGTAGATGGGTAAATAAACTGGTAATGGTCAGTAGTCACAAGTCACAAGGAACATGCTTGGTAAGTTAGAAGCATTTAATCTCAAGCCTAATAATAGGCCTAGGCCTATTTTAGGGATTCTAGAAGAATTGTGTTCTGGAACCGAAGACCTAAGTTAAGTTAGGCTAAACAAAGTTTGGAATTGAACAAACCTAGAATTATATTTAGATTATTATAAGATATTATTATTAGATAGTTATATGATTATATTTAGAAACCAGTTTAGGGAAGTAATCATGCACCTACTTGTTTGAATCTGCAGCGCTGGCTACTGTAACGTAACACTGTACTGTACTGTAACTGTCTGTAACTGTACTACTGACGACAAGAAGAAGACAAACAACTGACACTGACAGTAAAGAGTGACAGTTGGAGTTGACAGTGACACTTTTGTTGAGCTGTTCTAAACGTTCTAACTTCTAAACCTCACTGCTCAAGTCAACTCAACTCAAGTAACTCAACTCAACTGACTGAAGTCGGAGTGAAAGTGAAATGCAAGCAAATTTGAAAGATGGAGATGGAACGGAATAATGGAGCAGAGCGAGAGCAGAACCAGGGGCCCTATTTTTGAAATGGTTGACTGTTGAGTTGAGTGTTGACTGTAGAGTCAACTGTCAACCATTTCAAAAATAGGGCCCCAGAACAGAATCACTGGAGACTGGGACTGGACTGACTGGAGTCACAGCCACCTGTAACTACCACTATAGCTATAGCACTATAGCACTATAGATAAAACATACTCCTTGAGGCCTGGGCCGCGGCCTGGTAGAATTGACAACGTCGCAAGTGGTGTTGTTTAGTGACAGACGTCCCATAAGATAACTCATGGCAGACAGGTGAAACCAGCTCATTAATTCGCACTTTATTGATTTAAATTTATGAACATTAATTTACTAAAATATTGAAAATAAAACATACAGAATTGAAAACCGAAACAATATAAATTAAAAATCTATATCTGTACATTTTAAGCGGAGTCAATATTGTCATAGACCAGTAACCAATCTTTCGTAAATACACAAATACCATTAGCTGCTTCCAAACAAAAATGTTGTTACAACACCACTTGTGACGTTGCCAGTTGCCACTTCGATTCGAAGGCCGCGGCCTGGAGTTAAAGGCGGCTGTGGTTTCAACGCTATGAGACCCATCCGGGGTAGCGGATTTTTATCCCCCTGGAATTTTACCCCCTGGGCAAACGTGACGTCACAAACCAGGGGGTAAAATTCCGGCCGCGAACTTTTCAGTTTCGCGACATCAGCTCGATAGATTAAACGCGGAATTAAACATATATTTTCAAGGTTGTGATTTTAATCAGAACGCATCAAATTATAAAAACCTAGAATGTACGGCCCGAATTTTTACCCCCAGAATTTTACCCCCCAGATTTTTATCCCCGGATTTTTACCCCCGGAATTGTACCTCCCGGATTTTTACCCCAGGAATTTTACCCCCTGGCCAGATATATAAATTAGTGAGAATGATTAATTATCTTCATTCAGTTTTAATTTAATAGTAAACATTTTATTATTAAGTAGCCTTAATTTATTTGTAACATTAACTAATTGAACAGTTTTTTAATTTTAATTTTGAGATTCGAGTATCAGGATTCGATCTTTGAAGCCAACTGTTGGTTAATATGATCAAAATAAAACAGCGAATTCTGTTTACTTAGTTGAGGTGACAAAATAAATAAAGATAGGTTACTAAATAATGAAATGTTTACAATTAATTAAAAACAGAAATAAGGAAATCAATCATTCAATTTCTAAAATCGGCCAGGGGGTAAAATTCTGGGGGGTAAAAATCCAGGGGTAAAAATCCGGCTCGTACATCTTCAGTTGTCTAAACGCTAGTTATATGGACAGGGGGTAAAATTCCGGTTTTCATCGTTAATCTAATTAATCACGCTCTGACTATTTTCATTAGACTTCCAAATCCGCGGGGGTAAAATTCCGGTCGCGAACAAACTTTTGGCCGCTCAGGTTACTACGTCATAGTGACGTCAGCTTTGCCCAGGGGGTAAAATTCCAGGGGGGTAAAATTCCGGCGACCCATTAGAGTACGATGAAGCTTCATGGACTATACAAAAGCCAACGTATCACAATAAGAAAAGCCAAACAACAAAACCAAAAACGGCAAAAACACAAAACACTTGTTCTTGTTGGCCTTGTTGTTGGTTGTTTTGTTTTGTTAACCTAACTTTTTAGGTTAGGGCTTGGCTTTTAAAATTTTGAAATATAAATGGAGAATAGTCCGCTAATTTGTTTACCAGGTAGGAATCGAACCTAATTGTGGACGAATCCTGTAAGGTCAATGTTGTTTATAATTTTATTATGTAACTTGATTGTCACTAGGTACTCTGTGAAGTTCTGCTCTCTTCACTAGCCTACTTTGTTTAGTTATTAAACTTAGGTCATGTGTTTTTGTACTAATTAGATGATTTTTATTTTTTGATAATCTATATAAAACAAACTTAACAACTAGATGATGATAGGCTATGTAAATATTTGCATAATTTCCATCCTCCACAGTCCACACCAGATGAACCAATCCCAAATTTCCCAAAATTGTCTAGAGTTAAATCGTGGGTTTTAGACAATTTCCTGGGTTGATATATTTGAGAATTTTAGACCACAGAATAATCAGAATGCTGAAGAATGTTGTGAGATAACTGACACAATGCATGTTTAACTCAGCTGTAAGTTAGTTTCCATGTCCTTTTGCCCTAAAAGGTTCTAAGATTTTTCACCTAATTAAATTATTTCCAGCCAATTTATATTGAGTTAATTTCAGGACAACGATTGTGCCTGACCAGTAAACACTCCTCTGGCCATGGAACATACGAACGGCAAGGCTATGTTTACTCATCTCTCGCTGGAGTGGTGCATATCGTCAATGAAGATAAGGTAAATAAACAGACCTTAAGCTTAATTTAAAACTTGTCCCTCCCTGTCTTAAGTTTTTTTTTTACTTATTAACTTACCTACCTCCTCCTCTGCTTGAAAGGCTTGGTGTCCTAGCCAAGAGTTCCTCAAGTCACAATAACTTAGATCTAGAACTTCTATTTTAACTAGGCATAGTCTTGATGCATTGTTGTTTAAGGATTAAATTATTAGCCTTTGCTACAGTAGACTCCCTCTTATCCGGACACCTTTTAACCGGACATCGGTTTAACCGGACTACACTTGACGGAAATGACATCTCAAACTAACCGGACAATTTTTATCAGCACATTGGTTTAACCGGACTAGGTTGGCAGGACGTGGGCGGTACTGAAACGACTGTTCTCGTGGTAAAGATTTGAGATCAGTGATCACATGCCTAAATACAATGCTATCCTAAATTTAAGTCGAATGTCACTGTAAACGGTCCGTTTTAACGAGTTTTTTGGACGTCGGCTTAATTGGAAAAACCGTTATTCGGACTAGCCTCTGTCCCGAGGAGTCCGGATAAGAGAGAGTCTACCATACGTATATTCTCTGTTGCAATACCTTTCCACTAAAAAGTAAAATATGTTCCATAATTTTTGTTTCAGACATCGGTGATTGAAGTACGAAGCATTAATGATCAAAGTACTGTACCATCACCTGGCGATATAGTCACTGCCAAAGTGAGTTTTCTATAATTTTGAGTAACTTATCTTTATTTATCCCTATGTCATAAGTTACTATTTGCTTCAGGAGCGCTGCTGACCAATTTTTTTCTTTCTACCTTATTCACTTAAGTTAAATCCCAACTCACACCAAAGCTAGTGACAGATGGTCTGTATGGATATGATTTGCCAACTTTAGATGCTATCAAGGTTTTATTGTACAGTATACTAGCTGTACCCGCGGGCTTTGCTCCGTTTAACTTCATAAGTAGGGATTAATAATAAATTAAAAATTACTATCTACACTAAGCCTGTGGTTTTATTGGCTCTATTCATGAAAAAAAATCTGCTCAATTGGTCAAGTCGTCGTCCTGTCCTAATGTGGTTTTATGTCAATGCTCGTTAATTTTCAAGATGAGCTCATTCGCATGGCTCAATCACGGCCTGATTGAAGTTCGTTTGCTAAGCTTACTCACCTTTAGGTTGGAGCTCGTTCGCTGCGCTTACTTGCCTTCGGGTTAGCTTGTTCGCTACGCTAACTCGCCTCCAGGTTGAAGTTCGTTCGCTACGCTCACTCACCTTTTGGTTGCAGGCTGTTGTCATAAATAAAAAAATAATAGTGCTGCACCCTGTTGGTAAACCTATTAACTCTTTAATGCCCTTTGAACATCACAGAATCAACGTGTTTAGTTGAACCAGCGTAATTAAATTAAGTTAATTCCATTTAAATATTAGTACTCATGAAAAAAGTATTGGTGAAAACTTAACATTCTTACTAGGCCTACTGGCATGTTTGTTCTGTAAGTATACTGTATTTCTAATATTATTATAACAGTAAAAATTAGTATGTTACCGGTATTCATTTGGAACTTATACCTTATAAAACAACTACTAACCTACTAAAAGATATCTTTTTGAAGGCTACTCTCTGTAGTGTATTACAACTTAGGTTGGGCGTTTATGTATTGTTAGTTGTCATGTGTTAGTTTAGTTTACTTTCACCTGAGGTTGGGATCAGATTCCAGATCCCAAAATGTTGTGTGTTGTTTAAACTCTGTTCAATCAAGATGTTCCCATCTAGGTTATGATAGTCAACCAGAGGTTTGCCAAGTGCTTAATCACCTGTATTGGGGACACTGTGTTGACGCGGCCGTACCGCGGGATCCTACGCAAAGAAGATGTACGCAGCTTTGAGAAAGACCGTGTGGAGATGTACAAATGCTACAGACCTGGGGACATCATTCTCGCTAGAGTTGTATCCTTTTTGGATCGTAGTCTAACAGAAAAATTAAGCTGTGTTGGTATAAATTTAAGATTTGTGTAAAACAGATTTTTCTAAAATGTTTGCAAGACTAAACAAAGGTTAACGCATGATTTGGTCAATTACACATATCTGTTCAAGGCTCCACTAGAAAAACTAGTTTTATCTAGTGGGGCCTTGATCTGTTCCATGTGACATAGTGTTCATACCTTTGAATAGAAATGGTTTGTAGGCTACAATTTTGTTTTATTGCACTAATTTCCTAGTGCAATCGCTCAATACACTTTTTAAACACAACAACGTTGAGGAATCAGATCATTTAAAGTGTTCCTTATCAAATATTACAGCTTCCAATTTCAGAAGTACACAGCTACCAACTGTCCACTGCAGAGAATGAACTTGGCGTAGTGATAGCTCACAGCGAAGCAGGTAAATAGTTATTTGTGTAACTAGTGGTGAAAGTGGCACTTTGCTGCACACGAGAGCAATGTTTACGCACGAGCCGCAGGCGAGTGTGGAATGATCTCGAGTGCAGCAATGGCCTTTTTCACTCGTGTTACACATTATATATTTTTCCTACAGTCACTATAAAGCATATAAATAATTAGTCTTTCAAACACTAAGCAACACGTTTTTAGGTTCAGCTGGCAACACAACACAAATGGTGCCCTAGAGAAAGTAGTACCCGCGGTCCATATCACTCCGCTATTTTTTCTCGGCAAGAAATGTGCTCCGCGTTTTGAGAATATAGTTCCGTATGTTTTTGTAATTTGAAGTGGTTTCCGCACCTAAAAAACAATGCTTAAAAGGTATTTTCTTGTTTATTAAGATCGTAGGAAGGTTTTAAAAACGTTTAAAAGAAAAGTCCAGAAAGTTCAGAAATACCGAAACTATAAACATGAAATGACAGGTTAAATCGTAGTTATAATAGTCAATCAGCTGCTCATAGTATAATTATCTTTAAGTGTTGCCAACCTATTTCCAAGCGTACACGGATTACGTGCATAATGGAACCACGCTGTTTTGTGTTGTTTCGTTGGAATCCTGATGTGCGGCAAAGTATAAACCGTACGGCAAAGTATAAACCGTACGGCAAAGTATAAATATGCAGCAATTAGCAGCTTTCTGTACTATAAACAGTACAAGGAACCCAACTTTGTCGGGTGACTGTAGGAAAAATTAATTTGTGTCGTATATCCAATTGTATACAGGGTGTTGCATTGGCTAAGTAAATAGAAAAAATTTAGGAATAGGTTTAATGGGTCAAAATAAATTAAAATGAATGATTAAGTTTTTCCTAAAACAACTCGTTTAGTAAGCTATCTGCAATTTTGTATTTTGGGTTTTAAATTCATTTCTACTTAAGTATTCGCTTAAACCTTTTTTGTGGCTGTGATCTAAGCTGGGAGACGAGATAGTGAGGTCTTTACCACATCACCTCAGAGAGTGTTGCCAGTGTAAATAACCACTGGTTATATTAATTAAACTCCTTCTATATCTCAAACTGATAAGAACAAAAGAGAGAGAGAGGTGTAGTTTTTGTTGTACACATCACTTTAAAAACCTTTTCACCTTACTATGATGATTTTAGCTGTTTTACAAACATTTATTGGAGGCCAAAAGCTACGTATAGCTGTCTACACCAGCTGTCATTGTTATTTGGGGACCAAGCAGGTTTTTACATCCCTAGGGCCCAAAATCAGCAAATACACAATCACTATCCATAGCATTACAATAAACTTGTTGTATTATCATCGCTGCCTAGCAACTATTTAAATTTGTTTTTGCTGATTCCTCAAATTATTTCTTTACATAACCTTAAAGTTTTAGTTGTGTTGACTGTTAGTGTGCATTATTATTGTGGTGAATAGTGGTAATAGGGTATATAGTGTGAAAAATATCGTTCGTACAACGGGCCGAAATGGTTTTGCAGCTCTCGATCGTTTTAAGTTCTTGACTTCATCTCGAAAACTTTCTCAAGTTGGAAAAACCTCATTTTCGGCTCTGCAGTGCCGGATTTAGGGTACTTGCGGCCCTAGGAAAAATTACTTGAGCGGCCCTCCCCCTTTGGTGGAAACTCCTTGCGATCGTGGGAGTAATCGTGAATATCTCCTATGCATCAAGGGGACATCATCATCGACACTCGTGGTCATGGATGAAATCGTGGACATCTCTCCTAAACCAAGTCAAAGCCATCATAGGTATCTGTGACCACGGCAAAATCGTAAACACCCCCCGCGGGCTGCAACAAAGGTACATCATCCTCGACACTCGTGACCACGGCGAAATCGTGATCATATCCCGTGAGCTGTGACCTTGAGGACATCATCACCATCACCCGCAACCGCAGTAAAATCGTGAAACATCTCCCGCGGACCGCAATCACGGGGACATCATCATCGACACTCGCAACCGTGGCCAAATCGTAAACATCTCCTGCGAAGCATCAATTACGGGGATATCATTATCTACACTTAGGATCGCGGCAAATTCGTGTTAAAAACATCTCCCGTGGACTGCGATCATGAGGACTTCATCATTGTCACCCGCGGCCGTGAATCGTAAGCATTCTCCTGGGGAAGCCATCACGGGGGCTTCCTCATTGACACCCCTAGCCTAGCTGCGGCTAAATTGTGAACGTCTCGCGCGGGCTTCGATCATGAGGATACATCACCGTCACCCGCGGTCACGTTTAACTCGTGAACGTCTCCTGCGGGCCACAATCACGGGGACATCATCATTGACAACTCGTGACAGAGGCTAATTCTTGAACGTCTTCCGTGGGCTGCGATCATGAGGACACATCACCGTCACCCGCGGCTGCGACTAAATTGTCAACGTCTCCCGCAAGCCGCAATTACGGGAACATCATCACCGGCACCCGCAGCCGCGGCAAAATCATGAATTATTATCGTCACCTGTGATCGCGGCAAACTGGTGGTTTAAAATAAAATTATTTCTTATCTAAAAAATATTTTTTCAATCCTCTGCGGCCCCCTTTTGCTTGCGGCCCTAGGCCGCGGCCTAATCGGCCTAGTGGTAGATCCGGCACTGGGTACAAAATATACTATTTGTTGGTTGTATATTGTTTTAAATTGTTTTTTCTGCTTTGGTTGGTTCTAGAACTGTTTTCAATTACTTTCAGACTCATAGTAATAGAATAGTCAGTTTCATTTGATTGGTGATTGACTGATTGGTAAGATTGGCAGTGTATTTCAAAGGTGTTTTGTTGTAGGACATAATAACTCACATAATTGCTTACAATGAGGAATATTTTTTTAGATCTGATATATTATTTTGTATAGAATCTTTCAAAATATATTCAAGCTTAAAGTTTGTGTATTTGAGTTCTTAGTCTTTTCTAATTTGCCAAATTAACCAAAAGCATGATGGAATGACAACATTTAGCAAAACAAAAGATTTGTTCAGTATCACTTTGTATTGTTAATTCTTCTTCCTGTTTAGGTGTGGCCATGATTCCAATTAGCTGGACATGTATGCAATGTCCCAAATCCTACAACAAAGAAGAGAGAAAAGTTGCCAAAGTTGTTCCGGAAAAAATAACCCTCGATTAGTAGCTACCAGCTATGCCATGTTTTGTACTTTTGTAAATAAACTCACTCTTGATTTTAATGTTTTGTGTTTGTATTTGGTTGATTTTCCCAAAACATTACTTAAGGGCAAGGCTGTTTTGAATGGATAGTTGTATTTTTTTTGTTATTTAAATGTCAGATAAAAATCATTTTTCCAATGGCATTCTAGATTAGGAAACTTTTGGGTATTTACACAAAATATATGTAGTAAAAATAAATACCCATTTTATAAATACCCTACCCACTGGGTATTTACCCATAAACAAATCACTGCCATAAACACGTAAACAAACAACACAATTTTCTCTTTCGCTAATAGAATAACATGGTAATTTTGAATAAATATTTTTTTTTTATATTTCTCCGTATCCTTTACAAGCTTTTTTAAACTTACAACAACTCTACAATAAAAGAAATAATTTGTTTTTAAGCTCTACATGACGGCTGTAATGACAATTAAAGATTTTCATGATTAAAAAGTAAACATTTTGTAAAAGCCAATAAAAAAAAATTCAAACCCCATAACACCCGGTTCCCATGACTTGATTTGCAGCATTCCAAAGAAAATCAATTTTATACAACCCTACGCATTCATGCCAAGTTTTATCAAAATCTGACTACAATTAATCAAGTTATCACCAAGGCCCCACTAGAAAAACAGGCCATGCTGCAGAATCCATGACGTCACACTACTGGATAGATTTGATTGATAAATTCATTGCCATCACCATTCCCATATGTTTTAGGTAAATGAACAAGCTGGCTGTTTGTAAGGTTTTAATGGTAAGAGTTTAGTACAACTATCCACCATCTGTGACGTAGTGTTGCGCTGCCCTGCTGCAGCATGGCCTGTTTTTTTCTAGTGGGGCCTTGGTTATCACGGACATGTATTTTCCCTGGATTAATAAAAAAATGTATAGTTTAATTTGAGATAATTTTTAAATATTGTTTACTCGAGTAGTTAAACCAAATAACAAGGGACATTCTACATAAAATATTTATAATTTGTTTTAATTTAATTTAATAATATTTAAATACTGTTTACTCGAGTAGTAAAAAAGGGACAAGCGACAGTCTACATAAAATATTTCTAATTGGTTGTAATTTTTTTTAAGGTAACAAGAAAAAAAATTAAATACCAAACACCCTCAGTACTATACATAATTGATCCATAATAAATCTCCAAGGAAATGTTTAGTTGAAGATTTAATCTCAACCTGAAATGTTTTTGACAATTATTCACCTTATTTATTAACTAAAAACTATTTTGTCAAAACGAATAGCTTGTCAACTTTTCTAAGTATTCAAAGTCGAAGTAAGTTACATTTTAGATTGTCTGAGGAAAGATAAAAGCAAAAGCTCTCTCTAGAGAATAAGAATCACGCAGCATTTGAAGCACTACTTAAGCACTTCACCCACCACCCCCAAATCCACCACTTCACTCACAGCCACTGTAAAGTGGACAGGGTAAATGCATTACACCTCAGACACCATCCATCTGCTTTCATTCTTCACACTATAACATTTCAATACATGTTTAGGTAAATTTGTTATACGATTTTTCTAGAGGGACATTAGTTTGCAAAATGATATGGGGTAACTACATTGTATCACAGACAAGGGAAACAAAGGAACTAAGGAAACTTTTGTTTCCTTAGTCGATGATTGTATTATGTTATTTGAAAAGTAGCAGTCTTTCCTCTTGTCTTGCAAAAACTTCTGAAACAAACTAGATCGAACTATGTAAAAGGAAAATCTCACATCCTGCCTATTCCTGTTTCAATGATTTAGGGCTCTGCCCCTCTGGGGTTTCAAAGGGTGAAGTTGGACCTTGATATAAGTCTAAGTATGACTTTGATATAATGATAAGTTTCCAGGTAAAAAGTTTATCTTTATTCAGTTTTTACAAATTTATCATTTTGGTCCGCCAAACAGTTACCTTTATCAATTTAGATGTTACAAAGTTATATAATATACTAGTAGATTAACATGTAATTTGCAAATGTATATTAACCTAGAACTTAAAACAATGTTATAACCGCAACAAAATTATTGTTTAAAATATTTTAAATTTTCTAAATGAAACTATCATAAAATAAATGTACCACTTTGACCTACAAAAGCGAATTTATATTTTCCTGGCTGGATTTCCACTAAATATTTTCTAGGGATGGAAGGGTCTCGAAATATTCGGGAAATTTTAAATCTCGTTCAACAAGACGAGATTGTTATTATGATTGAGATTTTTTCGAGACGAGATTAAAAAAAAACAGTGAATAACGCCTGCAGAAAGTCAATGCAATACATGAACGCGTTGTTGTTGCGTTTCCTTTGCAAAGGCGTTCTTATTTAATTAATTATTTACATGTAAATATCGCTTTAAACGTTTTGTAATTTTTTGTTTTGACATTAAAAATGATGAGAAGTTTTGTTAAGTGTAAGCAGTGGGACATGTTTTACTACTGTAAACACAGCCGAAACAAGTCACACCAAAATCATTCTAAAAATAACATAAGACTGAAAAATGGTTACTTGATATATGAATTTTGAACGGATGGTGGGGTGCCTCAAAACAAAAAAGTAAATCGGTCCCAGGTAGCTAATTTCTTATATAGGAAATTCGCTAAAAGTTTAAATAGAAACAATCATAAGCATTATATTATAATCGTTTCCAAGATAACCAACATAACCGTCATAAACTTTACATGGTATTTTGAAAAGTCGGGACAGAACATCACTCAAATATTGAAACAAATATTGGTATAAATCACACCACCCAGCATACATAGAACAATTCCAAAATGTTTGTGGCAATGGTTATATTACATACTTGTAATTATAATACTTCTATTATCTGTGATCTCAAATTTATTGTGTGTGATTTTGAGATTAAAAATTCAAGTAATTCAGTATTACAAAAATAAATCAGTTTACATTTACATAACTTTAAACCTGCTTAGTCAATTTCATATATTGTTTCATAAATTGTATCTCAAGCAGGCAGTTTTGTGTTCAATCTAGCTACATTGTTAAGAGAAGACTGAGGGACAACTCAATAAGCGGGTGAACGGGACGTCATTATAAGTTTATCCAGAGAAGCGAACTCTCGACATAAATACATTTCTCGGCGATTTATTAGATTACTCCATGCCAACTCAACAATAAGGATTATAAAGATGGCAGTGATTTGTCTTGGAATCTTTCAATCTTTGTGTTTTCACACTAAGTTTCTAAGTAAGATTTCACTTAGAAGCTAGATTTCATGCATTCTAAGTAAATAATATGCTATTCCAATATTTTAATGTGTTTTGTAAGAGACCCAAACCCTAGAACTGGACTGTCACTGAACAATAATCTTCAGATTCGAAGGCGAGAGCTATAATTTGTCGACCACTCGGACAATATAATGTCACTTATTATTATTCCTTATGTTTTTAATTTCTCCCCCTAATACGTCAGTATATAAAGAAAGTATTTTTTTCGTTAAAATTTTTGAGTTTGAGTTTTGAGTGGATATATCCGTTTTGGGTCCCCCTGAACTCAAAAAAGTGGGTTTCAAAGTGATGTATGTGCGTGTGGATGTGTACATAGCTACAGACCACACCTGTAGATTTTGATGAAATTTGGTATGTATGTACATTATATAGTACATGTATGTTTTTGGTTTCTTGAATATCCATGCATTACATGGTATCTCCAGGAATTCTTTTCATTTGTTCGACATTTTGAATTGTAATGGTGATTTTACCATGAAAACCCATAAAATAATGGGAAAATCGTATTTTCTTGAAAATGGCTCGAACGATGTTGATAAACGTCTACAGTAAGTTATAGTCCTTTGAATTATGAGACAAATGATATAAATTCCATTTCCGTAAAAGATACGGTTCCAAAATTATTGTAAATTACCTTATTTTCCCATAAAATCCCATAAAATAACAAAAAAAATTATTTTTAGGAAAAAGCTGGGTTTTTATTAAAATTAATGTGTTATGGGTCCTTATAATTTCAAACAAAATAGTGCAACCCCCATTACTGTAACAATTACGATTCAAAAGTTATTGCAACTATTTTGATTTATCCCTATAAAATACCATAGTACACCGCTTACCAATGATAAAAGTTGTTGACAAGCGTATGGGAGAAAGTATGTGTCAGATTGCTGATACTGTTTATTTTTTTTTCAACCGATTTACAATATTTAAATGCATGCTTACATGCTTCACGTGATAAATATCCTCATCCATAATTGCACAGTGTAATAAGTGTAAAACTGATTAGTGTAAAAGGTGCTCAAAAGAATAATCTTGTCCCAGAAGACCAGGGTGTTGTCATGGATACGGCATGTCTTATCTTGCCTTTTGTTTCTTGTCTGTCTATCTTCTGAATGGTTTGGTTTACAATAATATTTTATCTTGAGTAATTATGCAGCACAGTAAATGGTTACATTTTTATCCAAGGGACCAAATTAGAGTACGATTTTAGAGAGGCTCTAAGAAAGCTGTTTTTACGGAACTCCAAATACTTTTAATAGGTAGAAGTAGTTTAGTTAGGGGGAAATTACAGTTGTAAAAATATGTGCAGTTTGTAAAGGATACCAATATCGAAATACAATTCCTTTCGTCTACATTTCCTTTAAGATACCAAATGGTAGGTTGCCAATTTGAAACTGATGATTGAGTACAAATTTGTATCTACTGAGTTCATTTAAAGATGCATTAAAAAAAAACACAGATCGAAGTATTTCAAATTTTTACGAACCAATTCTTACATATTATGGAACGTTATGCAAAAAGCCAGAGATTCACCAATTTCGAAGTAAACAAAAACAAAAATTGCTCTTCAATGAATTTAACAGAAAAACCTTAAAACTAAAACTCTATCAGTGGTTAAAATATGATATCTATACCCTAGATGGATTCTGGAAAGGGCTTGTACCATCTACATCTACATGTACCAGCCCGTCGCCCGTCTATATTTGGGAAACTAGGTTTTTGTAGTACTTACAGGTATGATTCACGAATCATGTGTCTGTTTTTA